GATTTGAACATTTCAGATCATCTATTCATCTCCCTTTAACCATTTCAGATCATCTACCTTTAACCATTTCAGGTCACCTAATGTAGTTCTCTAAGGCTCTAAATGTATTTTCATCACTGCAAAACTATATGGACAATACACCATTCTATCATCTTCAAAGATTGGAATTTTAATTAAAAGGAAAGAAAGATAGGACATATTAAAGTTTTAGACGTTCTTTTTGGTTAAAAATATCGTCGATGAATAATTTGCAATGAAGAAAAAGAATTGAATTTTTGGTATTGCAGCATGCATGAAACATTGTAATATCATTTGATCGTAACACTTTTAAAGCATCATGGCAATTACATAGAACCTGAATTTTTAAAAGTTACTAAATATAAACATAAAATAAACTAACAAAGCTCCCATTGTTCTTTAATTAAAATCTTAAAGTTGTTCGTTTCAAACTTAGCTTTTAAGTTAAATTCATTTTTTGAAAACCTCCCAATATGCAATAAATTTCTCCAAATTATACAAAAGTGAAATTCGATTCTTAAATTAGAACCAATCAAATGTTCCTGAATTTAGGACATCATCATGACTCAAGAAGCCATATAATAATGTTGTCGTATAACTTCCCAAATTGCAGGGATGATATGTAAATTCTAATGATTTTGTAATTTTAAACAAGATGCATGATAGCGAGAGGAACTAGAAAGATATCGCCGAACCCGCGACTCCAATAAGGTGAAGTGCCACCACCGCGCCAACAGCAATCATAATCACAGCAATATTCATCATAATTGCAACTCCAGACAAGTTCTTTCGGTCTTCTGCCATCCTCGAAGTATACATTACCCAACTGTGGATCATCTGCTTTTACAGGCATACGACACATGTGAGTACCGTAGCCGCCACGATAGTAGTTTGAACCCCAATAATATGGGCGATTATTCCACCTGAACTTTTTCATGAATCAATATTACTCTATTATACTTTCGAATAGTAATATTGATAATTCTCTATGGTATTCTTTACCTATCAATTAATTAAAGGTGAAAATTTTACGGTAAAAAATGAAATGATTTGAGAAATTTGAAAATGAAAAACAGACATCATTGGTGAATAAGCACTTCGTATCAATGCTCTGCCAGCCTGATAAGTGAGATAACCAGCTGCAGCACCACCGATAAAAGAACCAATGTTTGATTTGGTAAACCTTAAAAAATTATGAAGTGAGTCGCAGCTACAAATACCAAACCCTAGTGATCTTTGGTATTTAAACTTCTAAAAGTAAATGAAATTTATTCTACTAAAACTCATTTCATCAAAGTTTAATTCATTTTGATATTTAAAAAGGGAGCAATAAACAACAGAAATATTCTCTTATTTGACAAAAAACGTCAAACATAGAAACAAAAAGATGGTGTGGTGTTATCGTTGAATAATATCAAAAATAAAACTCACAAGCCGCCACCACGTGGTCGCCCCCACGAAGTTCTACGCGAGTTGCTACCCCAATGGCTACCACTTGTTCTACCAACATTGCCACCTCCAAATGTCCCCCACCTACTATCACGTGGATAACCAGATTTCGCAGAACCAAAAATACTTCCTCTAGTTCGGGATCCTAAGAAACCGCCACTCGATCCACCACCACTCTTACGCATACCACCAAATAAACCACCGGATCGTCCAGCCGATATACCACGACCACCAGTAAATATACTACCTCGTTTACATGTACCTTCCTTTATCACTGATAATAATAACACGAGAAAAGAAAGCTGTACAGACAAAAAATATTGTATATTCATATTTCATTTATATCGCCTTAACCTGAAAACATTGGCTATACCTGATAAATTACTTTTAGCGTGGTATACGGAAATTAACATTTTTTCAAGTTTGACCAAATGTTAAATATCCTTTCGTATCACTGCCATATTTATCTAACAAATGAATAGATAAATTATGCATTGTCAAAGATTCTTTCTTCTCAATCACTTAGCTTATTCTACCAACTTTAAATTAACAAGTTTAGGACTCAGGCTAAAGATCAAGTTTAGTTTTGTTTTA